TACCTCTCTGGGCAACCTGTTCCAGTGTTCTAGTGGTGTGCTACTAGGTAGGCAGCGGTTGTCTGTAACCTTTCATTTATAACTTGCTTTTCCTGTCCTGCTTGATGGACATAGCCTCCATTCAGGTTTCCGTGCACAAAAGAGCCATGTTGGATTAGAAGCCTATTTCTTAATAGAAAGCTGAGAAAACAGGATTTTTTATGTGTTGTTTTTTGTCTTTTACTGTTGGTGGATTTTTTAATGTTGTTGTGTTTTTGGGGTGGCTGGGAGCTTTCAGAAGGACATTTGTGGGTTTTTGGGGGGGGAGGGATGTCAGTTTAATTTCTTCAGGATTAACATTCTTTCTTGTTTTCTGATTTGATTTGTTATTACCTCTTAGTTCGTAATACAGAAACCATCAAGGCTGCAGAAAAGAGAGGGAAAACATTTAAGTCATTAAACCAATCCATCCATCTTCATAATTTTTTTTCCACTCCATTTCTTTCTTGGATAAACTGATTTCCATGAGGTAATGATGTAAGTGGCATCAGTTTGCTCCATAATGCTACAGAGGTTATATATTTGCAGTACTTTCAAAAAGTCATGACAAGAAAATATGGTCACTGAACTGTAACTCAAGATGTGTTTAATAGGTGTGGGTTTTTTTCCAAGCATGGGTTGTGAATAGGCTGCTAGGGTAAATAATTAAGAGAAGATATTCCTGTTATGTATTGGAAAAGAACCTTTTTCTGTTTTATGTTAGCACACAGAGATGTGCAGCAGTCATTGGCTATGGTGTCTCTAGAGAGAAATACTGGAGTTCATCTCAGCCCTAAGGATACCACTTAAGCCTGGCTGAATAAACCAATGGACTATGAACATGCAAGCGGAAAGATTGGTTTTCATTCTGATAACATCTGTAACAATTCAGAAAAACTGCCACAAGGCCATAGTGGTATTTGGTGAAATGAACAGTTGTGAACTTTCAGTTTTACATATTATAGGCTCGTAAAGAGTAAATTTAGCCTAAGTGCATAGACAGACATAACAGTTCGTGACAATTTTCAAGTACATGTTTGATAACAAGCAGTATCTGCAGGCATTGTATTCATCACCTTCTGAGTCTCCATTCGTGAAGTCGACTAGAACACTAATTTTAAAGTTTTGTAAAGTATTTCTCCAAGTAATGAGAACATCCTTCAAAAGACTAGCTGAACATTACGGTAGGTATTTGTCTTACTCTCCAAGGGTACCTCCCCTTTCTTTCTGTTGACATGTTTGGTTTTGTCTGTTTTGTTTCTGAAGATAGTCATCAAAACACAAAGTTGCATAAGTGTTTCTTAGACTGCCACGTATGCTTCTACTTGTTCATAGGTGTGGTGTGTAGCTGTGCTGAAAAAGCTATATGGTATTTAGCCCATAAAGGGCAGCATGACTGTAACAGGGCAGCACCGTGTATACAGCTCCTATTGTGTTTGGTTTTAAGATAGGAGTTATTGAAATGGCTGAAGATCTTGCTCTGTTGTCTCTTCAGACTGGAAAAGCATTTGTGCAACCATCTAACCACTATAGATAATAACTGAGTGTGTGTAGACTGATTACCTGTAGCTGCATATATATTAACTGTAGTTTGCATCACTCAGTACAGAAAAGGCAAATTTTATATAAGTGCAGTCCTCAGAATCTGTTACAACACATACAGTATTGGTTAATACACCATATAGGAATGGGGGTTTTTTTGGAAAACCTACTATTTAGCTTAATATTACTACCACCTTGGTGTAGGAAAAAGCCCCTGATGGTAAGAACTTTCCCTGACTTAAAAAAAAAAAGAAAAAGTAAATAGACATGGCTGCTCACACTGAGGAAATCCTTGTGAATTTTCAGCTTACAAATAAAGAAGCAGATAGTACCCCCCCTCCCCCTTTTATTTCTGAAAAACAGAGTTGTAAGCTAAATAAAGGACCGAGAGGCACCAAATAATACTTCCATTACTTGTACTTTAGCTCTTGGGTAAAAATTAAGCTTATGGAAAGGGATCCTGGTGTCCTTCCTTGTAAGATAGATCTCTCCCCCTTTTTTCTGGTCACGTTCCCTGCGTATTCAGGGCCACAGATGTTGTCCAGCTTCTGAAGGGAAAGTGCCTTTGAGGCACAGCTGGTTCTCAGTCCCAGCGTGGCTGGGCGGATCTCCAGGGTCACTGGTGCTATGGGTATGAGAAGGCTTTGCTGGAGCAGGCTAAAGAACAATCAAGCCTTTCATTTGAGAATGGGGAATCGCTATAAGATGGCACAGATGAAATTATTAATTTCTTAATAAATAAGGGAAGACTTGGCATTCTCGGGCTTTCTGTTCCGGAGAAAAAGCATTTATGTGTTTTCCTGAAGTTCTTCATGCCTGACATGAAGAATGCCTGATTTCAATAGCTACTTATTAGGAATTTTCTCATCTCTTTACTGTGCAAAGACCCCTTCTTTCTGTCTTTTATCGTGGTAAAGAGTATTTGCTAGGGACTCAGAAGCTGTTGTAGCTCAGCTGAAAGAGCAGGGATTTGAAGTCTATGCATACTCGAGTGGCTAATTTTGAGGAAGAGATGGCTTGTGCAACATAAGGTTGCATGTCCATGAGAATTTAGTTTCTGCTGGAAAATTGTTAAAAAATAGAAGATTTCCTCAACTAACGTTAAGTTGACCTAGAAGAGGCAGATTGCTGGGATTCATGGTGGCATGTGTCAATTGACTTCAGAGCTGTTACACTTCATGAAAAAGTATGTCATCAATTTTTTTCCTTCCCAGCACATCCCTACTTGCACAGCTTATACTATGATCCGAAAAAAAGTTGTCTTTAGCCAGCTCTCACCTCCTGGGTAGAACAGGATCAGTCTGTGACATTTTTGGTGACAGAGGCCTATAGCAAATAGAGCAACTCCACTAAATCCACTTCCAATTTTTTCCTCTTGGGAATTAGGCCTCACAGCACCATGACCAGTATTCACAATATTTCTGTAGTGGGTGTCTGTGGCACCACCTGTTTTGGCAGGGGGGGGCACTGCAGGGGCAGCCTGTGTGAGGAGATTGA